AGCCATCCGCCGCGTTGGACAACGGGTGCTGCCTCAACAGGACTGACGAACCTGGCTTCGGCCTCCATTCGCGCCTACGCATATTATAATATCGTCCCTGATCCTTCGAGGCTCGCTGTAAGTTGTTACGGACTACGTCGAAGATTTCTCTCATCCTAACTTCTTTGGCCTTGGGCTGGATTTCTCTCGTCGCAGAACCCGGAGTGACTTCTTCATACAGTGCGGCGGGTAGGCGTGGCTCCCGCCCCAGCATTAGGAATGCAGGAGTGAAGCCTGTGGAATCGGCCACACTCGAGTTGACGGCCAGCGTTATCTCAGGCAGCAGCTCGTCCCACGAGCTTTGATGGCCTTCGACGTATTGTGCTACCATCGTCTTTACCGTGCGATTTGTCGTCTCCGTCGGATTCTCCTGCGGCGAATAAGGCGCTGTATATTGGAGCGTCACCCCCAAGGATTCTATGAACGCCTTGAAGCTTCTGCTTGTAAATTGAATTGTCGCATACGAATGTCCTGGGTACTCCGAATCTGCTGAGTATACGTTCCCGGAACGCTAGCTGCAGCAGCGCGGTAGTGGCCTTCTTCAACGGCACTAGCTCCACCCACTTAGCGAAAGCATCGTGGAACACCAACAACATTGTGTTCCCACGCTTGGATCGAGGTAAAAGTCCCACGAAATCTGCGCATAAGACCGCCATTGGCTCCGCTACCTGCCTTGTCAGCTTCTGCCCGGCCGGCTTTTGTTGTACGCACTTGAATTTCTGGCACGTCTCGCAGCGCTTTACGTACTTGGCGGCATTTCGGAACATGCCCGGCCAATAGTATCTCTGCGCCAGTCTAGCTGCCGTCTTTCTCACCCCTTGATGTCCTGCTGTGGGGGCATCGTGGCATTCATGGAGGACCCTGCTTCTTTGGCCCTCGGAGACGCACAGCTTCCAAGGGATGTAATCCTCGTCGTCCGTCCGATAGCCCAAGTTTCTATATATCTGGCCATTTTCCTCTACGTAGTCCCTGAACTTCTCTGGGTCGTTAGCAATACTCTCGCGCATCTTCGCTATCCACTTACAAGGGAGGCACTCCTCCACCGCTTGTTGACAATTCTCCAGGGGTTGGCGAGACAGTGCGTCGGCCACCACGTTTAGGCTTCCCCGGCAATAACGGACGTCTAACTGGAATTGTTGTAGTTCTAACGCCCATCGGGCGATCCTGCCCGTGGGGCTCTCTATCGAGTTCAGCCATTTCAACGCCAGGTGGTCTGTGATTACGTCGAACCTGTAGCCTTCTAGATAGCAACGCATCTTCCTGATTGCCCAGACGATCGCCGAATAATTCACCTCCGTTTTAGTCAGTCTTCGGCTGGCGTAGGCTATGACTCGTTCCTGACCCTCGATCTCCTGAGTTAGCACTGCGCCCAGCTCGCAGTCGCTGGCGTCGGTTTGCAGCACAAATTTTTCCGAGAAGTCGGGGCACGCCAGGACTGGTGCTGTCGTTAGGCTCCCCTTCAGCTTTTGCAGCGCATCTTCTTGCTCCTCGGTCCAGACCCACTTCTGCCCTTTTTTGAGCAGCCTGGTCATTCGTTGGACCAATGAAGCGAAGTTCGGCACAAATCGCCTGTACCAAGACGCCATTCCCAAGCATTGTCGTAGCTCTTTCAGGTTCTTTGGTGTGGGGAAGTCTCGAATCGCTTCGACTTTCGCGGGGTCGGTGCAGATCCCTTCCCCACTAATGACGTGGCCTAGATACGCCAACTTTTCTCGGAAAAAGCTGCATTTTTTTCTATTAACCTTGAGGTTAGCCGCTCTCAGTCGCCGGAAAACCTCCCTCAAATTGGCCGTATGTTCTTCCTTTGAGGCTCCGATCACCACTATATCGTCCAGGTATGCGAACGCGTGGGGCTCCATCTCGGGTCCGATCACCGTATCCGGTGCTCTCTGGAACGTTGCCCCAGCCGAATGCAGTCCGAAGGGCATTACCCGCCACTGGAACAAACCTCTCCCCGGGACGGTGAAAGCCGTGTACTCCCTGCTGTCCGCCGCCATCGGGATCTGCCAATACCCGCTTTTGAGGTCCAGCGTAGATATGAACCGGGCTTGCCGCAGTCTTTTCAGGATGTGGTTAATCCTGGGAACAGGATAAGCGTCCGGAATCGAGTGGGCGTTGAGCTGCCAGTAATCCACGCACATGCGCCATTCTCCGGTCTTCTTCTTCACCAGGACTATGTGCGCGCTGTGCGGGCTCCTCGACGGCTCGATAGCTCCAACCCTGAACAGTTCGTCAACCTGCTCGTTGATTATCTTCTGCATCGCTGGGTTCTTCGGGTAGTATCTCTGTTTGAGGGGTTTATCTATGTGGGACACTCCTTCGAGCTTCTCGAAGAGTGCTAGCTCGGTCTCCAGGAACTCCTTTAGGCTAGGATCCAGATCTTCCGGCCACACTACGGCTCCGAGGGCCGGCCTTGCGTCGCGTTCTTCTTCCGGATCTGTTGCGTCTCGCATCGTGGGGTGCTCTCCCAGCTTCCGTTCGAGCTGCTCGTCTCCCTTCCTGTCGGCCCTTGCGCAAATGTCCGGTGCCCTCTGCGATTCTGCATCCGCCCGAGCTCTCCGTTTCTTCGACGGTGGAGTCCAGCTTGGCGCCTCGGGGTTCACATTAGCGTAGCTCGAGCGTCGAGCGAGTGACCCCTCGTTTTCAACGCGACTGCTCTCTTTTGACGTTTCTTCCATTCTCATCGTCAGTTCCGTGTCGCCACAGCGCAGCGTCGCCCCCACCGCGCACAGGAAATCCATCCCTAAAATAATGTGATCCAACATAGTCGGCATGATGAGCACCGTCATCTGCACTACCTTCTCCGCGAGGGCCACGACTACCTTCATTGTTCGCGTTACGTCCAGCGACGACCCGTCGGCCAACCTTATTCGAGATCGTATCTCCTGCGATTTAATTCAATTTGGTTTTATTTTATTTTAATTTAATTTTATTTTAATTTAATTTAATTTAATTTTATTTTATTCGCTATTATTTCACCCTTGTCCCACTGTTCTCTTTACGGCCCCATGACCTCGAATTTATTATGCTGAGCTGTGGGGGTATATCCGCTCACGAGCCCGCGCGCACCAAGAATTAAAAATGAACAAAATTCCCCACTGTAAATTTTTATTTTATTTTATTATATTTTACTTTACTTTATTTTATTTTATTTTGTTTTGTTTTGTTTTATTTTATTTTATTTTATCTCCCCTTTGGCCCACTGTGCGCTCCACTTTTATGGCCCAGTGACCGCTAATCTATTCCGTCGTGTTGAACCGTGGGGTATATCCGCTCACGAGTCCGCGCGCACCAAGAATAAAATAAACCAAATTCCCACATTTTTTTTTTTTTTTTTTTTTTGTTTTATTATAAATATTATTTCATTTTATTTTATTATATTTTATTTTATTGTATTTTAATTTATTTTATTTTATTTTTTTTTTTTATTTTACTTCATTCTATTTTATTTCGCCTTTGGCCCACTGTGCGCTCCGTTTTTATGGCCCAGTGACCGCTAATCTATTCTGTCGTGTTGAGCCGTGGGGTATATCCGCTCACGAGTCCGCGCGCACCAAGAATAAGAATGTACAGTTCACTTCACTATTACTGTCATTATTATTTCCATTATTATTCTCATCACTATTCTTATTATTATCATTATTATTATTACCACTTATATATATATATATATTTTCTTTCTTTCTACCTCTCCTTTATATTTCCTCGTTTTATGCAGTTTTACTGCAACTTATTTTGTCTAAGTTTTCTCTTGCTTCCGACCCAATGTGCGCCGCACTTTTATGACTTGAGAACCGCTAGCTTACCCTGTTGCAACGTGCCGTGAGGTATATCCGCTCACGAGGCCGCACACTTCATTAACATTTGTAAAATTTGTTTTCCCTTTTACATTAATTTTCTCTTCTGTATATATGTTCGTATAAATATGTATATATATATATATGAATATATGAATATATGTATACACAAACACATAAGTTTAGCTATGCTTTTGACGCGCCTTCGGTGCAATGCACTTTAGCGCCGTTACGCTCACGCCGTTATTTGCCGCCGCTAGCGCTGTTCTTTCGTTATTTCGTTGCGCAGGTCGGGTACACGCGGGTATGCTCGACACCTGGATTACCTGGATTTGGGCAAGTTTGCGGGTCTTTATGCCGCTAGCTCGCCGCACTCTCCTCAGCCCCTGGTCCCTGCTCGGGCGCCACTTGTAAAGTACCACTATGGCCGGGGCAGCGTAAGTCTGCCCAGGGTGGTTGATCACAAGAAATTTGTGTTTTGCCGGGACTAGAGTGAGGAGAGGGGAGGGGGGAAAATACGGGAAACACAAGTTGACGACAGCCGGGGCTTGTCCACTCGGTGAACGGGCGCGGCCGCGTTCTTTATAGCCAACTCCTTTTTACAGTCGGGCGTTGCCGCGACAGGTTGAAACGAATGGAACAGAGGGGAGCGGGGGAGGAATAGGGAATCACTACTGTTGTTAGTGTTAAACTTGCAAAATAAACAACACGCCGAATTTCACTTCAATTTCTCTTTTAATTTATTTAAAACATTCCACTCTTATTTCTACATCCCCTTCTATTTCTACTTTCGGCTTTTAATTCGTTACATGTTACTTAAACTCTAATAAGTCACTTGCGCTCACCCGCTATTCTTCGCTGTCCGAAAACTAATAATCATTTCGCTCTCTGTCGGCCGCCTCCAAGCCTCCGCCGCGATCCGCCTCGGCGTCGGCAATACAACTCACCACGGCGTCGGCCCTTCGAACTTTCGCCGCGAAGGACAGAGTTGCATTCCCGATCGCCGCGACTTGCGCGCGTCCCTTGGCCTATTTAAAAATAACAAAAAATTATGTGAGGCGGTTCAGTGAGCCGCCTTACAAACTACCAAGTAATATGCTCATTTATTGTCTTTTTTTTTTTTTTTTTTTTTTTTTTTTTTTTTTTTTTTTGTATGTATTTTAGATTGGGCACAAGAAGCTGTTTCGAAATCAGAAATATTACGTCTCATATATCAAGGCCGCTTTTTACATTGCAGCGTAACATTGGGTGCATTAGGGCTTCCATTGGGGAAAACGACTGTCACGCACTTAGTATCTCGTGATAATTTGCCAGAACCTAATTCGCAAGGTGAGAAATCTTTTTAAACATGCCAGTCTTAAAATAAACAAGATCACACCTATGCTACGACTTTTAGCATTAAATATTATGCTCGCCGCAAGACAATAACTTCAAAAACTTTAAAAACATCGCTCCAATCCGAAATAACTGTAAAACAAGTTAACTTAAAACAAAAAGCGAATTCTAGCCGACACTGCTCGAGTTGGAGAGTGCTGCAAAAATTTTGGATCGGTATCGTTTTAATCGATATTTTCAAATTTTGGAAAAACATCGATATGGTTTTCTTAGTATCAATATATCGAAAAAATGGTTACACTTGGCGCTGGGTTTGACTGTGTAAGAAGCACATACCTTAAATTTTGCTACATTTTGGTTTAATTTTAAATTAATTTTAATTAAATCAGAAACAAGTAAAAATGCTCTAGTCGAGACTGCTCGACTAGGAGATACCCTGAACCCTCTAAGCTGATATTCTAATCATTCTGCACTTCTTTTATGCACACATGCACATGCATTCACACGCACGCATAAGCCTACGCTCTGCTAACTGCGCAGTAAGCAGCGACTGCGTTTGGGCTACGCTGCAGTGTTGGCATTATTATAAGAATTTATATGTTGAATAGTTTCATTTGTAGACTGATTATATTTATGAAACTTTTAAAACGTGATCGTAATGTTCAAATGTATGTACATTCCGATGCACAAGTCTCTAGTACTTGAAATACGTTTTTTACAAATTGTTGGCTATTGGTGCAATGTATCTAAAACCTGTAATTCACAAAGCTTTGTGTTCAACAAATGTATATACACAGTGAATGTGAAGTCTCCAAGTCTAAAAGTGTTCAAATTAGGCTGAAAAAAAAAAAAAAAAAAAAAAATATTTTTCGATTATTCTTGATAAAAAAGTTATTGGATGAGTTTCGAAAAAATAAGCTAAACTTGTAATGCGTATGGTATACAAGAGTATGTATGCCAAATTTCAGATCTCTAGTTCTGATATCTTCTGAGATCGGCTTGCTCATACGGACGGACGGACTGACAGACAAACGGACAAGGCTATATCGACTCAGCTCGTCTTGCTGATCAAAAATATATATACTTTACTGTATTCAACAAATGTATAAACACAGAAAATCTGAAGTCTCCAGGTCTAAAAGTGTTCAAATTAGGCTGCAAATAACAAAATCAAATTTTCTATCTCGATAAAAAATTTATGTAACAGACAGAAGGAATCATCGCAGACCGCTTAAAGTATATATTATTTATAGCCCTATCTGTCTGTCCGTCCGTCCGTATGAACGCCTAGATCTCAGAACTTAGAGCTGAAATTTTGCATACTTGTGTATACTGCCCTGTGATAAGGAGTCTGGTCCGTCAACTAAGGTCCAGAGTATAAAATTCAACTTGCGACCTCGTCAAAATAAGAAGGCAAGTGTTGGCACCAGTGGTTCAATTCGTATTAATTTATTAATTTCACATCAACGCAAGCACAGCTTGCTCAGTAGAGAGCGCACCTATGCGCATCTAGGCGCGAGCAAAGGTAGAGCGATCGTTGGAGAGCGACACTCCCGTGCTCGCGCGTACAACAACAACTACTCTTTACAGTGGTTTAACTTCATATTTAAATAATTAAATTTCTTAATCTATATAATTTCAAAGCAGAGGGCATATATTCAAATACCTTAACATATACCATACGCAGTACAAGTTACTCATATTTTTTCGATAACTCATCCGATGCCTTTTTATGCCCTGAACCCATTTTCAATGGGAAATCAGGGTATAATAGTTTTGTTAAATGTATGTAACAGGTAGAAGGAGGCGTGGCAGACTCCATAAAGTATATATATTCTTGATCAGGGCGACGAGCTAAGTCGATTTAGCCCTGTCCGTATGTATGAACGCGTCGATCTCAGAAAATATAAGAGCTAGAGACTTGAATTTTTTTTCCTAGGTCCGTGTATAGCACACATCGAGTTTTGCTTTAAATATCATTAATTTGCCCCGTTATTTTGTTATCGATTAAAAACATCGAAACCCAGTAATAAATTTATATCTTTAAAGTTAGAGTCTCCAAATTTTTTATGTATACTTATATGCATTTTATACAATTTCGGTTTTTGTCAAAATTTACCCCCCACCCCTAATTCACCCCCTCACCCTCACATTTGTAAAACGCGTATTTCAAATACTAGAGATTTGTGCTATGGCAAATACATACATATCCATGATATAATCATAATCTGAAAGTTTCGCGAAGAAACTACATCCACAAGAAAAGTTATTGAGCAATTAATTTCCCTGCAGCCAATGCGTGTTTATGCGTGCGTGCGTATCTCTGTGTGTGTGTGTGTGTGTGATGATGTGTGTGTATATGCCTGTGTGTGTATGCGCGTGTGTGTGTGTGTGTCTGCGTGTGTGTGTCTTGTGTAAGCAGAAAGACGCGATGATTGAAACAGCTATTGCTCGAAGGGTTCAGGGGATCTCGTAGTCGGGCACTCCCGACTAGAGCTTTCTTACTTGTTTATTGAGGAAAATCGAAAAATTGATTTTTTTTAGTTTTTTTTTTTAGCCTAATTTGAACACTTTTACACCTGGAGACTTCAGATTTACTGCGTATATACATATGATGAATATATCTAAGCTCGTCGTGCTGATCAATAATATATATACTTTATGGGGTCTGCGATGATTACTCCTGCCTGTTACATACTTTTTCACAAAAACGTTATACCCGGATTTCACATTTTCATAGGTTCAGGGCATAACAAGTAAGAAAATTCTAGTTGAGAGTGCTCGACTAGATACTACCCTGAACCAACTTAATAATAATAATTAGTATGGTTGAAAATTTCAAATTCGATATGTTTCAAAATATAAATGAAATAAAATCACATTAACTTATACAACGTAAAATATTGATTAGAGGCCTGCAGGGGTATACGTGCTTGCGATCGTCTTCCAAATATACTGATATTTGCATGTGTTTGAGCATCGCAAGCATTGCTGCAAAACGAAACGAATGGTACTCAAAGTCGCTAAGTATTCTGTTTTACTTCTTACGCTTTTAGTAGAGTAAAACAAAAGCCTAGACAAACGAAACGAAAAGCGAGTAACGTCAAAAAAATTGTACGGTACTTTTATTGCGTGTTGAGCGCCGTTGCTGAGGAGATACGTGCATAAACATGTTGCTCCACACAGCGACGCGAGTACTGTAGGAGCGACCCTCGCTACTGGAAGGGGTCAAGGTCCGACTATAGTCGGCCTCTTTCGCTCTTACAAATTCAGCAATGATATAAAAATTGTATAAAATGCATATACGTATATATAAGTATACATACAAAATTTGGAGAGTTTAGCTTTAAAGATGTAGGAGATATATATTTATTTATTATAATTTCAAGTCTCTAACTCTTATATCTTCTGAGATCGACGCGTTCAAACATACGGACAGAAGGACAGCCGGACGGACAGACGGACAGCCGGACGGACAGACGGACAGAGCTAAATCGACTCAGCTCGTCGCCCTGATCAAGAATATATATACTTTATGGGATCTGCCACGCCTTCTTCTGCCTCTTACATACATTTAACAAAACCATTATACCCTGATTTCCCATTTTCAATGAGTTCAGGGTATAAAAAGTTAGCATAGTCATCTTTTGTTCAAAAGTTGACCATCTCGGTGAAGCGAAATGATTGTGCTTTCGTATATTTTCATTGCCCGAAACTAAAAGTGAGGAGCCGAATAAATATGAAGTTGTCTGGCGTCAAAATGCTCGAAAAAAAGTGTACAGAAACCTTTACACTACAAGTCCGGTCTATGTGTACTCTGGTTAATGGTAAAACTGACAACAAAACTACCAAATAATATGCTCATTTATTCTTTTTTTTTTTTTTTATATATTTTAGATTGGGCACAAGAAGCTGTTTCGAAATCAGAAATATTACGTCTCATATATCAAGGCCGCTTTTTACATTGCAACGTAACATTGGGTGCATTGGGGCTTCCATTGGGGAAAACGACTGTCATGCACCTAGTACCTCGTGATAATTTGCCAGAACCTAATTCGCAAGGTGAGAAATCTTTTTAAACATGCCAGTCTTAAAATAAACAAGATCACACCTATGCTACGACTTTTAGCATTAAATATTATGCTCGCCGCAAGACAATAACTTCAAAAACTTTAAAAACATCGCTCCAATCCGAAATAACTGTAAAACAAGTTAACTTAAAACAAAAAGCGAATTCTAGCCGACACTGCTCGAGTTGGAGAGTGCTGCAAAAATTTTGGATCGGTATCGTTTTAATCGATATTTTCAAATTTTGGAAAAACATCGATATGGTTTTCTTAGTATCAATATATCGAAAAAATGGTTACACTTGGCGCTGGGTTTGACTGTGTAAGAAGCACATACCTTAAATTTTGCTACATTTTGGTTTAATTTTAAATTAATTTTAATTAAATCAGAAACAATTAAAAATGCTCTAGTCGAGACTGCTCGACTAGGAGATACCCTGAACCCTCTAAGCTGATATTCTAATCATTCTGTACTTCTTTTTACACACATACATACACATGCATCCACACGTATGTACTTTTAGCGCTCTGCTGACTGCGCAGTAAGTAGCGACTGCGTTTGGGCTACGCTGCAGTGTTGGCATTATTATAAGAATTTATATGTTGAATAGTTTCATTTGTAGACTGATTATATTTATGAAACTTTCAAAACGTGATCGTAATGTTCAAATGTATGTACATTCCGATGCACAAGTCTCTAGTACTTGAAATACGTTTTTTACAAATTGTTGGCTATTGGTGCAATGTATCTAAAACCTGTAATTCACAAAGCTTTGTGTTCAACAAATGTATATACACAGTGAATGTGAAGTCTCCAAGTCTAAAAGTGTTCAAATTAGGCTGAAAAAAAAAAAAAAAAAATATATTTTTCGATTATTCTTGATAATAAAGTTATTGGATGAGTTTCGTAAAAATAAGCTAAACTTGTAATGCGTATGGTATACAAGAGTATGCATACCAAATTTCAGATCTCTAGTTCTGATATCTTCTGAGATCGGCTTGCTCATACGGACGGACGGACTGACAGACAAACGGACAAGGCTATATCGACTCAGCTCGTCTTGCTGATCAAAAATATATATACTTTACTGTATTCAACAAATGTATAAACACAGAAAATCTGAAGTCTCCAGGTCTAAAAGTGTTCAAATTAGGCTGCAAATAACAAAATCAAATTTTCTATCATTCTCGATAAAAAATTTATGTAACAGACAGAAGGAATCATCGCAGACCGCTTAAAGTATATATTATTTATAGCCCTATCTGTCTGTCCGTCCGTCCGTATGAACGCCTAGATCTCAGAACTTAGAGCTGAAATTTTGCATACTTGTGTATACTGCCCTGTGATATGGAGTCTGGTCCGTCAACTAAGGTCCAGAGTATAAAATGCAACTTGCGACCTCGTCAGAATAAGAAGGCAAGTGTTGGCACCAGTGGTTCAATTCGTATTAATTTATTAATTTCACATCAACGCAAGCACAGCTTGCTCAGTAGAGAGCGCACCTATGCGCATCTAGGCGCGAGCAACGGTAGAGCGATCGTTGGAGAGCGACACTCCCGTGCTCGCGCGTACAACAACAACTACTCTTTACAGTGGTTTAACTTCATAATTAAATAATTAAATTTCTTAATCTATATAATTTCAAAGCAGAGGGCATATATTCAAATACCTTAACATATACCATACGCAGTACAAGTTAATCATATTTTTTCGATAACTCATCCGATGCCTTTTTTATTGAGGAAAATCTAAAAATTGATTTTTTTTTTTTTTAGCCTAATTTGAACACTTACACCTGGAGACTTCAGATTTACTGCGTATATACATATGATGAATATATCTAAGCTCGTCGTACTGATCAATAATATATATACTGTATGGGGTCTGCGATGATTACTCCTGCCTGTTACATACTGTTGTAGTGGTGGCGTCTTCAATAAGTACAAAAGATCAGGTTGTATATTTCTTAATCTTTATTGGTAGATGAGAGCTGTGTCGCTCGTATAAAAAGTGTGTAGAGAATATCTATATATGTCATAGCTCGCAAATAACTGTTAACACTTTTTCGTTGTCTGCAAAAAAGTGTCTTTCAGTGACACAGTCAAAAAAACTCAGACAGAAACGGTTTTTGTCGCGTCTGGCTTAGCTTTCTCGCGCTCTGAGGGAGACAGTTGTTTCTGTTTTCGTTTCCTCAAGTCAAACACTGATCGTTTGCTTGAGTTAAATGAAGTAACAGTAAGTTGCGTTTGTATGGGTAATCACGCGCGATTGCTGCGTTCTTTTTGTATGTATGTATGCGTGTATTTACATGCACACGAAGGCAAAAACATTTTCTGCTGAGTTTTTTAGTCAAAGTGTTTTTTGCTGAGAGTCTTTGTGTGAGGGAAAATCGTGTTAGTTTTACGCGACACTCATGTGAGAGCGTCACACGAATGAGTCATTGCATTGCGTCTGAGCGAAACAGATGCTAAAGAAAACAGAGAGTGACGCTGAGAGCGAGACGTGTCTGCACAATTTTTTTGGTTAAGATGCGAGGAAGAGAATAAACGAAAAAACGATCAACTCTCATTTGCAAGCTCTGATATATGTATATATGAACAGAAGTGTCAATACCAGGATAGGCAATTGACGAGAGCCAACGGTTGTACTATTAACAGAACGCTGTTAATTGACATCAACAGAGTGCTGTTAATAACACAGCCGGGCTATGTGGGGGAGGAGCAATCCTGTTAATGGGATCTGGCATTAACACATACTTTTTCACAAAAACATTATTCCCTGATTTCACATTTTCAATAGGTTCAGGGCATAACAAGTAAGAAAATTCTAGTTGAGAGTGCTCGACTAGATACTGATTTGACTAGACTGGATTACGCTTTGAGTAGAATAAAACAAAAACCTAGACAAAGGAAACGAAAGGCGAGTATCCTCAAAAAAAATTGTACGGTACTTTTATTGCGTGTTGAGCGCCGTTGCTGAGTAAAAATCAGGCTAGAATTGGTTAAAAATTGAAAATAAATACTGGAATTGCAACCTAGATTATAAAAACTAACTGATATGTTTAAAAATTACAATTTTTTTTCTTTCTTTTTATTATAAAACTACGTGAGGAGCAATATAGGTATGCACTTAATAATGTATATGAATGTACGTATTTGCTGTGCGTTCATATGCATATACATGTTGCTCCACACAGCGACGCGAGTACTGTAAGAGCGACCCTCGCTACTGGAAAGGGTCAAGGTCCGACTATAGTCGGCCTCTTTCGCTCCTACAAATTCAGCAATGGGCTCGCGTCGCACACACGATGATCATCGAGGACCATTAGGCGAGGTGCCGTTCGGGCCGGGTGATAGTAGTGGACACTTTTATTCGCAGGGCAACAACGGTACTTCGGCCAATGGGAGAATGCCTTGTGATTTGGCAGGAAAGTGGCATCAGCCTAGATCACGCCACTTTACCGTTTTCTGCGACACGAGCGGCAGAAAGGCCCCGCTTCAGAGCCTAACAGTCTCCGTTACCACACGAAGCTCGGCCTGTGGCTGGTGTATAAGGGGCACCACCAGCTCCATACGAGGTCTTAATTTCTTAAATTCTGAAGAGATAAAAGTGGACAGTTGCGATATGGAGTGAAGAGAGTGCCAAAGTATTACAGTGAAAAGTGAAAGTCAACGCGAGTGGCAAATCAGAACTCCCAGGACATCGTGAGAACAGCAAGGACATCCAGTGGAAATCCTTGCGACGACTAAAGAGGCAATCAGGATCGTCAGCGGCACCAACAAAGACATTTGTGCAGACCAGCAGCGTAAACGAGGCCTGCATATCTGAGTAAGTAGCACGTAGCCGTACGTAAGAGAAGTGTTGTGAAGCTTGTGAAAGGAAGCTAGTGTTGTGCTGTGAGCGAGTGGAATAGTAGGAGTGGCCTGTATAGCCGGGCGAACAGCCGGAGTTTACAGATCCAGATACTGTCGTTTTCTGAAGCGCTCAAGCGAAACTAGCGTGTCTCAGCAAAACATTCTCCCAGCCTGAGTACGCTGAACCAGCACTCAGTAGGTGTACCTTGCGAAAGCGAATCATCATATAAGTTATGAAGAAGAAGAAGTGTAAAATTTATAAAGCTTATTCAAGAAAATATATATATATATATAAACAAGTAAGAACGTTGCAGTCGGGCGTTACCGACTGCGGAATACTCATTCACATCCCATCAACAATTTAGTAGTTAAGTTTCGCTCTAATACTGTAGAATATACAGGTTTTTCCGATTTGCCACGCCCCAACTGGGCGTAGACACCTCATTTTTGGTCAGTTTTTAGAAAGAGATAACGGTACCCTAACTGCAAAGTTTGAATGCTTACCCTCAAAAAATGTGAAAATTACAGGGTATTTTTCGATATGCCACGCCCCTAAAGAGGCGTAAAAATTATTTTTGGGGAATCGATAGAGGAGGCTACCAGTAACTCAACTATCCAAATTTGAAGCTTCTAGCTATTATACTTTAGGAGATATAAATTTTTGCGGTTTGCCACGCCCCCTGTGGGCGGACATATATCCGACAAAACTTTTTGGTCTTGGGTGATCAGTCCGAGTATATATACAAAATTTGAGGTCTCTGCCATCAATAGTGTCCAAAATATAGGAGAAATTAAAAAATCACTATATCTTCAGGTCCGATTTGCCACGCCCCCAATGGGCGTAGACTTGTAATTTATCTTCAGACTTTATAGAATCATACCATTAGCTGACTTGCAAAATTTCAGCATTCTAGGTTTACAACTTTAGGAGATACAGTTTTATCCGATTTGCCACGCCCCCAATGGGCGTAGATATATCCGCCATAGCTCGTGATCTTGGGTGGCCAACGAGGACCTACATACCAAATTTCAGCTTTCTAGCTCTTCAACAAACATGATTTCTGGTATATCGGAAAATGCATTTTCCGATTTGCCACGCCCCTAGTGGGCGGATCGGGAAAATTTTAACACTTTATAAATCGGAGATATACACGAGTATGTGTTCCAAATTTCAAGTCTCTAGCTTCAATAGCGCCGAAATAGAGTGCGTTCATACGGACAGACGGACAGACGGACAGACGGACGGACGGACAGACGGACAAACGGACGGACAGCAAGACGGACATTGCACAAAACCAATATACTGATTCACTTTCGTGAATGAGTATAAATATACCCAGCTTAGACTCGGGATAAACGGAAGGTTCGTTACAATATGAATAAAATCTTGTTATTATTTGTATTTCTATATAAAAATGTATTTGTGTGTTCAATAGTAATATGCTAAATATAAGCTGGCAAAACTAGCTGCTAGCTAAAACGAAAACAAAACTTAAGTGATGCTTTATCGTTTCTTTCGTTCGTTGCTTCTTCATTGTTAGGGTGACCATCCTTCCTGGACTTGCGGGACATGTCCCGCTTTTGGAGGTAATGCCCCGGGGCCCCGACCTGGCACGAAATTGTCCCGGTTTTCTAGCGTTTCGATAAAAAAATAGACATTTTGACAAAATGCAAACTTGAAGATGTTTGTGTCGCGACAAGTCAAGAAAATTGTTTAGAAAAACAACGCAGATAAGGTAGTACAATTTGTTGCAACAAACGTACAATCGTGTTGTTACTCGGAAGTATTAAAAATAGCTCAAATTCTGCATGCGATTTGGATGTATTCATATAAGGATGTATTAAGAAAATTCTAGTTGAGAGTGCTCGACTAGATACTGATTTGACTAGACTAGATTACGCTTTGAGTAGAATAAAACAAAAACCTAGACAAAGGAAACGAAAGGCGAGTATCGTCAAAAAAAAAATTGTACGGTACTTTTATTGCGTGTTAAGCGCCGTTGCTGAGCAAAAATCAGGCTAGAATTGGTTAAAAATTGAAAATAAATACTGGAATTGCAACCTAGATTATAAAAACTAACTGATATGTTTAAAAATTACCATTTTTTGTATGTATTCATATATATGGATGTTCGTCTTGTGGAATTAGTCCCAAGATAATGTAATTATGCTAAATATGAAGAAAGTAAGAATGTAAAGTTGAATGTATGTGTGAATCTGTGTGACAAATGATTTATTTCATATTTATTTTAGTTGTTGACAATCCCGGAATGGGCTCCTGCCCAGATGGTCACCCTATTTATTGTACAAGCATTTGCAGACCGAACTTTTCGGTATGTAAGCATAGCTCGCTTTGTTTCGTTCGTCCGGGCTTACACTATTTGAAAAAACGAGACAGTGAGATAGCAAGCACTATCAAAACACGTGTGTCTCATTTAGCTTTTCTAATGCATTCGTGCAGGCCTCCAATACTATGTACTAAAAAATTTGCCCTAAAGTTAAATATGTTAAATTCCTTGTCCTGAATACTCCCTAAAATACCACTGTGGTAACTATAAATCGCCTCAAAAGTCCTAGCGCTAATATACACATGCATCTGAGTTAACACACAAAGCTACATCAAACGCGCCCCAAGTAACTCAGAAACAGCGCACTGAACCCAAGGCGGCTTCCGCCACGTGCGTTGCGTCAGCATTCCCACGGAATCAAAAACAACGACAACAACAGGCTTCCACCACGTGCGCTGCATAAGCATTCCCACGGAGTCAAAGAACAGCGGCACCAGCAGCGACGGCAGCGACTACAACAACAAACCGCAGCGGCACCAGCAGCGACGACAGCGAGTTAAGTTAAGTGAACACAAAAAGAAAAACACAAAAGAAGAAAAAATATTTGCGAATGAAAAATAAAACGAATACAATTTTTGCAAAAAATTTAATAATTAAGGTGAAAATTAAAATCTAAGAAAAAAGTATAACTTCCGTCAATAAGTAACAAAGATTAATCTAGCTCAATAAGAAGAATATTTTTTGATAATTTTATAATAAGAAAATATTTTACCCTAAGAATTTATTACCCACTAAACACCCACATTTCTACGAAACCTAAACATTCTGATAGGATAGGCACCAATCAAAAAGAACCAAATCCATCAAGTACTCCCGTAGCTAGCCCAGAACTGAAGGAGGTTATTGTGAGTCTGATTAAGGAAACATTAGGAAGAGGGGATATTTTCCAGGACCAGAACGATAGGGCGGAAACGCTAACCGTCGTACCAGCTATAACCCTTTCTCCAGGAGACCAGGACAATCTGTCAGACTTAATAAAGTTAGCTAGGGAGTTCTCTGGAAATCGTACTGAGTTCAGCTCATGGAAGAAGAATGTATCACATATTATGAGCTTATACGAAGGTAGGGAAGATACACAGGCCTGTTATCTCATAACGTTAGCAATTCGTAACAAGGTTACCGGTGAAGCTGACGTAGCCCTGGACTCATATAACATGCCTCTGAACTGGAAGGCTATTTCAAAATGTTTAACAGATCATTTCGCTGATAAGCGCGATCTGAAATCACTGGAGTATCAACTATTCTCGCTTACATTGCCGAATTCTATCAGGCGGTCTACTATCAACTCTCCTTGATATATCCTTGATATCCTTGATATTGACCAGAACACTGTCCAATTTTTGAAACCCGAAAGCATTAGGGCTTTGACTCAGAGCTATCGAGAAAAGGCTTTGGATATTTTTGTTAGAGGACTAAACGGTTATTTAACCACAGTATTGGCAATCAAAGAGCCACGTGATCTCAGCCACGCTCTAGACAGTCCTCCGCTCCTAAGCTCGCACCTCATAAACAGTAGTTACCAAATACAACAACTAACTGGCAATCCTTTAACCCCAGACTCTATTATAACCCTAATCCAATGGGAATCCCAGCGAATAACTGGAAAATCCCTGACTTCCGTAACCACAATACTAGACCAACTCACACTCAACCTCCCATATCTCATGAACAATATGGTGCGAGACCATTGCGTCCACCAGCACGCCCTTTAGCTCCTAAACCGGAATCTAAACCGATAGCTATGGAAGTTGCTGGGTCTCTTCGCTCCGGCCGTATCATATGAACAGGACTTCGCCCAATGATCGCTTTGGAAAGCGGCGCCCTTCCCCAGGTGGGCCGCAACCCAAGTTCCAAAGGCAGTTCCGTCTTGCCGCGGGTGCACCCGATCAAGCAAACGAAGTAGAGCAAAATGGTTTGAGCTATATTAGTCCCGAAGAACAGTCTTATTACGAGAACCCCGAGGTAGCCGAAGCAGTAACTTTCTACGAGCAAGGTGCCGAAGTAGAACAGCAAGAACTAGAAGCAAACACAATCTATGCTTCAGACGTTCATTTTTTAGACTAAACAGATCATCCTATGTTATCCTATGTCAAGTGTGTAACGCAAGACGGTACCACACTTAATTTCCTTATTGACACTGGCTCAAGCCAAAGTTATATTCAACTTTTATTTAATTAAAAATCCGAAAATAAATAAAAATAAATTCTACGTCAACTCTGTTGGCGACAAACCCTAATTACTCACCATACCTACATCGCACTATTTGGCCGTCAAGACGTCCCTCTAAAATTCTTCCTATTACCAACCCTAAAATCCTTCCACGGTATGCTTGGGAACGATGCTCCAAAAGAATTCAAGGCCGTAATAAACACCAAAGACATTACCATGATGTTATTACAAGCTCCATTTTGATCAGCTAAATACCCAATCAGTGAATAACATAAAAGTCAGAACAGAACACATGACTCCGGCCCAAGTCGAACCCGGACGAAAAACTGACTTACACTACTAGGGTAAAAGGGGAAATCAGAACATCATCGGATATTCCGGTATACAGTAAACATTACCCTTACCCTTAGACAATCAAAGTAGCAAACGATCTATGCGAGATGAAAGTGCTATCATA